AAGAACGCCAAGTTATAAAATTAAGAAGATCACGCACCCAGGTAACACTGGGAGCTGTAAGTATTCGGTTTTAGTATAAGCAGTATGAGATCACGTTTTCTATTAAACTAGAACGTTTGAATATTTAAATTTTAATCTGCTTAACTATAAAAGAGCATGAGAAATCTTTTGATCAGTTAAATTCAAATTCGTGTGCCATTTTCTGGGTAAATAAATCTTTAAATGTAAATTAACACGACGTTTTCTGAGAAAAAATCAAAGCAACACAAGAAATCGGCTTAAAAATAACTCTTCCCATAATGAATTTATATTTTATTTTGCAAGAAAGCTGGAAATTCCAAATATAAACATCAACATAAAGTAGTTTTAGTTAGAAATGTGATTGTATTCTCCTCTGGAAGCCTACATCTGAGACCAACTGTGGGCGCAGCATGTGATATCAGATTTTTGGAACAATTAAGCCGCATCCACATTAAGCAACTGAAACAAAAAAGCAGCCGCTGACCCAGCTCTCGGATCTCAGATTGTTCTCCGCTCGCAGATCTACGTGATATATGTATGTGCCCCCAACATCCCGCCCCTATATCAACGAAAAAGTTAAAAACAAACTGTGTTACGTGCCACAAGCGAACAACTATCAGATAAAACATGATCATAACAGCACATATAAAATTTTAACTATTTTCGTGGCGAGCCAGTCTGAAATTTTATTGTTACGCTTGTGTAACAACAAAAACTACAACAAAAAGCAATAAGCCACAACAAGAACCAGTCACGTTATGAGTAAAGTTGAACAAAAACAACTGAGATAACTTTAATTTGTGGGGAAAACAAGGCGTAAGGTAAGGGTAATGAAAAAAAGAGCAGCGTTCAATTTCCAAATCACTCGCAAAGAAAACGAAATTTATGAATGCCTTTTTATAAACAGAACCACTCGAGTGAAGGTCAATATAATAATGGTAGTCCCATAAAAAGGTGCGATTAGGGAAAATAGAAGTCCAAGAAACCCAAGAAGTACACGTGATGACATACCAATTTTATTGCGAGTGAGTGTGCCTTGCAATCCAAATTTCCCAACTTGATAACAGTTCAGTTTATAAACAATATTATAACAAGTATCCCTTAATAAAAGTTGTATAGGTTAATACCAAAATGTAAGAATTCTCTTCCCTTGTATAACACCTTTATATTAATGTGCAAGTCATTTTAAGAAGGTGATACATGTTGTCAAATAGAAATTGTCATCAGGTGTAACATTTTTCTTCAAATCACCCGAGGCGTTTCAGTGACTAACGCTATAATTCAATAAGGTCCATATACCGTTGAATCACAGAAATGGTGGTATCTTTGTTACATTTTTGTGAAACTAATAGTCCTTATTTAACAAGAAAGATATGAAGTTCTGAGGCATAACAAATTATAATAACTCTTTAACTAAATATATATCTTTTATGATATATTGACACTATAACTAGTCTCATCTTTCGAAAGAAAACAAAGAATTTCGATCTTTCAAAAACTATTTTGCAGTTATATTTTCATAAGTTTACTCTAACTAGAAATCTTTATAAACAGATACATATAATGAAATAAAGTATTCTCTCTAAACTCTACTTCATAAGTCTTTCGGAGTTACAAGAGTTTTTAATTGGTTTTTTTGGACATTATTCATTCTAAAACTCTTTTATTTATTAAGTTACGTATGGAACTCATCTGATTCCAAAAATTAACAAGAGTTAAGAATATTATATAACTCTATTTCCGAGTTCCCCTCTTCTGAGGGCAACTCACCTCGCTAAATGGCCATTTTCACAACCTACTGACCATGACCATGGTGCAGGGGGGTTCTCAATTAACGGTGATCAAGGCTAAGGGTTAACTGCTACTTTGATACTGCCAATTTGCGAGGGTGTCCATGGGTGAAGGTCAAATGGGGGACTATTAAAACGCGTTTACTTCTCGGCTTTGACTTTAACTTTAATTTATTTAATTTTCCGGGCAATCAATTGGCCTGCGGCGCTTGTTAGTTACTGACCTTTTTTCCACTAGTCTGGCTGCAATTTTCCCCAAATTCGTTGAGTTTCGGCGCAATTTGTTTACTTTTGCAGTTTATCAGCGAGTGTTGTTGTTCTTGTTGTGTTTGTTTTTCCGGGAGTTTTTCGTCCAGTTTTCGTGCTCTTTTTTTGGGTTGGGTAATTTTGGGGACCCGAAAAAAAGGACAATTTCCCTCTTCCGCTCTCTCTCTTCCTCTCTGGGGAAAGGAAAACTCTCTCACTTCCTTTTTGCTCCTTGCGCGCGCGCTCTCGCAAATTGATTTTCACTTTTGGCGATTGTCAAAAAGACGGCAGCATGAAAATAATAATAAAACGGAATTTTCACTTGTGCCACTTTTTGCGGCGTCCGTTTTTTATTTCACCTTCTTTTATTTTTTTGTTGTTTTTGCAGGGAAACGGGTTTAAGTAGTTGATTTTTGCTGGGTTTTCGGGGGAAACAAGAAATTCCTCTCTTTTTCCTTACGTACGCCTTTTTCCTACTGACTTTTGCGTTTTTCTCCTTCTCCGAGATGCTCACACACACACGCACACACCAGCAAACTCCCACACACACACTCACGCACCGGCCAAACAACAAAAATTCTTTCGCTGTCTTTGATTTTTGTTTCTTTCTTTTTTGGCTTTGATTTGTGCTGCTGCAGAGGCGAACCGGTTTCTGTTTTTATTTGTTATTTTTCCCCTGGTTTTTGCACTTCACTTCGATCGGTTTATATATTTTTTTCCTTTTTTTGTTTCGTTAGCTGCAGTTGGCAGTTTTTTGAATTCTAATAATCACGGCGATTATTTGAAATTTGGCTGGGCGAATTCAATGCACCGTTATTTCGCACGCACACACAAACGGCCGTCTCGCCCCTTCTCGCTCGCACACTCCTGGAGCGAAGAAAACGCGCACTTAGCGGTTTGTTTAAAAATTTGTTTCAAAATTCGAAGTAATTCAAGTAATTGTACTGAAATCGGTTTTTTCCCGGCGACTTAAACGGTTACCGATGTGTTTCAAACTTTTTTTAACGGAACACGCGAAAACACATGCAGCACGAATCGCGGTTGAAAAAGCAATAACAAAAATCGAAAGAGAGCGCTCTAGAGGTGGGCAGACTTCGATAACAGTCTGATTGGATTTTGATAAAATATATCGAGTAAACATCGAGTACATATCGAATATATGTCGAATATTATTGGAGAATTCAAGTATATTTTTAGTATAAGAGTCTAGTATAAGTAGCAATGGGTTCTAGCCAGTGCTAAGTTCTTATAAGGATTGGGTCCCGGCTGTAGGAAGGAAATTTTTAAATCATTTTTGTTATTAGTTGGAAAACATCAAAGCGGCGGAAAATAAAACGCCTCCGCCCCCTTTTCACCCGCCCTCCAGCACCTTGACTATTTTCTTGCACAAGTTCTGGGTCACTTGGGCATTTTTCACAACATTTCTTAAGGTTTTTCCCGGATTTGAGTTGGCCCTTTTGGCGCCTGAATCGTTTTTCATTTTCCTGGCCTAAAGTGGGTGGCTGGGGGGAGCTGAGGGGGCCACGTGCGGCTCATCCATCGCCTCTGTTGTTGTTTTTCTTTGGGACCGACGGCTTTTCTTTGCCGGTCCATTGTTCCCAATTTCCTCGTTTGCTGTTTTTGTTGTCCAAGGGTTATTTCCGAAGGCGCCTTAAATTGTGGCTTTGTTTTTATTGCGAAAACCTGAATGTCCAAGTGGTTTTTGCCCACTTTTATTGGCCCACAATGATTTCAGGCTTGCTAATTGGCTGCTTAAAAAATTCAAGTTATGGCCATTTGAAGAGAAATTAAAATTTGTGCATTTTCAAAGTTTGGCCTTTTTGGAATTTATAGTTTTCCTCTTTACATAAGGGCTTTAGCTGTACTTCCAAAATAATTACTATCATTACTTCTAGTTTTAAGTTCATAAAAATGGTATCAAACAATAATTTCTTTGATATATTTGTTTCCTTTGATAGTGAAAAAAGTTTTTTTCACAAATTTTTTAGCGACAAGATAATAGTTTATGCTCATGAAGCCATTCCAGAAATCTTTTTCACATGTGAAGTTTATGTAATTTCCCCCAATTTCAGGTCGAAACCATCACTCATTGCGCTTTCCCCCACTCTTCGCAATTGACTTGATTTATGCAAAACTCCGTTCCGTTTCGCGAAAATGTTCAGTCAATAAACGTGAGCCGAAAAATGATGACCCCGTAGGTCAGCTGGAGTACCCCTATTATGAAGAGGGGGTGGCTTTAGCTTTGTATGGAAAATCTAGCAGCCATGGCCGGAAAATGCAATTTCGCTGATGCTGCCGATTTTCGGCTCTAATATGCAGTGCACTTTCATCGGACGGGTTTTCTTTTCCACTTTGCAAATTTGGATGGTAATTAGATGGATCGTTGATTTTGCACCAAAGCTCATTTTTGTGAACTTATTCATTATAAGTCAGAGAAAAATGTAATGTAACTATTTTAAAAACAGTTAAATGAGTTTACACAGTTTATAAGATGATCGATTCAAATAGTTCAACTTCAAGCAAGACCTGATTGACTCGATCAAGAAAATTAAAAAGAAAACATTGAAGCTCATGGAGTCATGGTAAATAATCAGGTGAATCAAAGCATTATATACTTTTCAACTATTTCTTTTACTCCACTATTTTCCTAAAAAATAATTGTACGGTCTCTCGCAGATTCTTTAGGATAGATTATTATTTACTTATGCGTTTTTGCGCATACTAAACTAAAATATGTAAAAAAAATCAATAATTTTAGTGGATCAATCCTTAAGATTAATTATATTTTCGCGATAAATGCCTATTTACTGTCTTCAGCTTAAGAATTCGCGTGGATAAGACAACAGTTATTTTCGTTTTTGGTGATGAACCAAATCCACCCAAAAAAAGCCTTCTTAATATTTTCGATTGCTTTTACTAAGGATCCTTTAGAAAAGGTTCTTTTTATGTGATGTTCACCTCCTCCAGTTCTGTGATCTGGTATTTCTGCAGTAGACGGAGCAGTTTCTCAAGCTCACGTTTTTGTTTTCGCGCCCTGTACCTTTGCTTGCGGAGAAGTCGAAGGATTTGACGACGTCTCCTTCTTTTACCCTGCTCCGTCAAATGGGGCGCGTATAAGTCCGGGTTCAAAGCCTGGGAAGCCAATGATGAGGGGGTTGTGGAGAGGTCGATGATAGTGGCAGTCGATCCAGTGCTATTCGAGATCAGAACAGAGCTTTCGGTGGTGCTTGTGGTCACATCCGTGGACGAGCCTATGTCACCACTGCCCTCCTGGATGAACAGGAGGCAACCGAGAACGAAGGAGGTGAGTACCAATAAGAAGCGCATTCTGAATGTGTCTTGGCTGGAGAAATGCGAAGGCTTTTATAGCCAGATACCTGCAAAGTCTGAGATACTTCTATGTATCTTGCATTTAGCTTTATTTGCTCAGCTTTTAAATTTAAATTCTCTTTTTTCATTGGCCAAATATTTTTTGTGTGATATAATTTAGAAAAAATATTCAGAAAATATCTTAATAAATAATAAAGTTCATTAGCCAGACTTTTTAATCTGACGGTCTGACTCGATCCTTTTGTGTCATTATGCCATTGTCATTGTTTAGAAAAGCTACCTACAAAATAAATTCATTGGTCCCATTGAATAATTTAATCATTTTTATTATGAGTAGTTGGGATTAAGTACTTTTCGTTGATAATAACCTACTGAACCAAAAACGCTTATTTAATAAAATAGAAAAAAAATTTCTTTTACAACAATCAGCAAAAATATCAACATATTAAATTGCGTTTTACTGCGATGCAACCGGAACAATAGCCAAATTGAAAATATTTATTAAATGCTAATTGACAAATATATTTCTGTCAGGTTTAATGTATATACAGCTTGTTACAGCACATAAATCGCTAGGTAAAATGAAGAAACATCCAAAGTATATGAAAACATTTTTAAGTGACTTTAAAACTGTAAGACTAACATTCAGTGGATGGGTACTTAATGTTAGTCTTACAGTTTGAAAGTCACTTACCCATGTTTTCATATATTTTTGAATGTGTCTTCATTTTACCTAGCGATTTATGTGCTGCTGGTGCAACATGTAATGTGCGCGACACGCCCCCTGAAACATCTTCTCCACCGCCCAACACTTTCATAACATACACAGAAAAATATTTGGATTTTTGAACTTAAATTTATAGATGTTGAAGAATTTTTTAAGTTTATTGGGAATATGAACATTCCAAGCTAACTATTTTGAGATACCTATTAGTTCAGAAGAATTTAACTAACATTTTTTAAGCAACAATAATATAGCAAAGATATAATATTTTACTGTGCAACCACAATGGGTGGCAAACATCGAAAAAAAAATGCAAAAGCTGCAGCAGACGAATTTACAATAAATAACAATCAACAACGAGGAATTATCAAAGGGGCAGCTGGTTAAATAATTTTTGTAGCTTAAAGTAGTCTCTAAATCGGGTTTTTGTTTTATTATTTCGATTATACTTAATTTATGATATTTATATTTGGGATTCTAATAAATAAACACATTTTATACTAGACAAGAAAACAAAATAATGCGAATGCAATACTACAACCTGTGAAAATCGCAAGTCCGACCGGGAACTTTGCATACCAAATGCCAGTCGCTAATCTATTCGAACAGCTTATGATCTGTGAATAATAACGTTAGCCCCTCAGCAATGGTAAAATAATCAAAAAGAGCTCCCCTTTTTTGTGAAGGATCGCGGATAAATTTCGGCGGCTCAGCAAAGCAGAAAAATGGGGGGAAAAACGAGGCTGTCCAAGTGAAAGTCCAACGCTGGCCGCTTCGTTCACATCTCACTAACCTCGTGATTTATATATTTGGCCCAAACCGGCTGTCAGTTGCAGTCACCCCCCTCCCCCTTTCCCCCTCCTATCCCCCTTTTTTAGCCACCCGTTTGACTGACAGTTGGACAGGCGGCTGGAAAAGGGGCGTGGCATGCGTTGCCTGCATAATGGAAACGTTTGCAGACAGCCCAAAACGGCAGCTAAAAACAAATTTGCATACTTAGACGAAGAGGAAAGTGAAAATTGCATCAAATATTTTCCAGGCCAAATGAGCGAAAGTAAATCGCAAAAAGGAGCAGCAAAAAAGTGGCAGAAGATAAAAAAAATCCAAACTGGCAACAGGAAATGCATTTCAAAGCGTTTGGCCATTCGCAGGGCTTGCCGAACTGATATTTGATATTCAAATTAATTTTTTCTGAGCCAATTATGCAACTGTATTATGATTGCAGATTATGTAAATTATAGTCGAGGTGGCTTGGTAAAATATTTAGGGTATTTGCCAGGCAGCTAAACTATAATTAAATAATGAGTAAGTGGACTGTAATGAAAATGGCTAAAAGTCAGTTTATAGATTATCTTAATAACGTTTTAGGTAACAAATAATGAAAAAAACATTTCTTGTGAAAAAAAGATCTTATAATTATTATTTATTTATTGTTTAGGCCATCAGTGGAATGTTGCATACAATCTATACTTTCCTGTTACAATTTGTTTAAGAGTAATGCCAAAATTCGTTGCTTTTACACATTTTGTTAAAACTTAAATTTACTAATACGTTTTTTGTTTTATAGGCAAGTAATTTTTAATTTTCAGAAATTAAATAACTACTTAAACTTAAGTTATGTTCTAAAAAAGCTGAGTAATACCTAATCGTAGGTATTATACTTCCATTTAAATACTTCTTCCGGGACTGTCAAACTGTAATAACTTAATGAGAAATTTATGATAAATTTTTCCTAGACTAAAAGCCACAGCTAGAAACAAAATAAAGCAATAAATTTATGTTAAGAACCAAATGAAAGCTGTAAACTGTCGTCTGCTGGCCAGAAAACCAGCTTTTCCCCAGCTCTTCCCTTTTCCATCGCCCTCTTTTTTTGCTATTTCAGCACTTACACGAATTACGCGACCTGAGAAAATTGTAATTCATAATATTCCATTCTGGGGAGCGGGCTGGCTAACAAATCCTTGGGGACACCCATCCTTGCTGGGATCTGTGTGGGATCTGTTTTGTTAATGCTAAGAATAGCACATGCCTCAAGGTTGCCCTGCTCAGGGGGTGGTAGTGGGTTCTGTTGAGTTGGGTTGGCCATAAGGTTGTTGTTCCTTTAACGTGTCAAACTTTTGGCCAACACAACTCGAGCTCCCTGAAGACAGCTAAAAGATGGAATAAGGTATACGGAATACGGAATGAGGGTGGTGACAGGTGAGGCAGGGAGATGCGAAAAAGGGACAATAAAGCAGGGACACTTTGCTCACAGTTCATCAGAGATTGTTAAACTTTTTAGTCTGAAATGTTAGGAAAATACATTTATTTTACAACCATAGAAAAGTTTACCGAACTATTCATGTGTCTTATTAAAGACCTCTTGAAATATGGTTTGAAATATGAGTAAATAGTAAAAATTATATTGGTTTTTGATTTAAGAACTTTATGTTGGCTATGTATTTTCACATTGTCATGGTACACTTTCTTATAAAAAACTTTAAAAATTATATAAAACCTTTTTAAAAGCCTGAAAGGGATTTCATTTGACTATTATAGGTTTCATGTCTTTTATTTTAATGACACATTATTTATAAAGACATTTCCTTTGACTATTATAGTTTTCATGTCTTTTATTTTAATGACACATTATTTATAAGCTTTACCAATTACACTTACTTAATTTAAGATTAGTAACTTTCTGTTGCTTGCAATTCCAGGTATGTTCCACTACGTCACATCACATGAACTAGTCAAATTAAAAAACACGAAGTGAAACTAAAATCGGGATGGATGCATTCGTTGGCAACCAAATCCGGATTTGTGTCACCTGTGTTTTTCCATCACGTGACTGCAAGGTAGTGGCCGATTCCCGAAATCTTGTAATTAAATATGGATTTTTGAATTAAAGTGAAATTTACAAATCCCTAAAAAATGAAAAGGAAATAAAACATTTTAAATTACATCGCATTAAAGGTATAAATAAAGTGCAGACCATTTAAACTGGCCAAAATGTTCTCAAATATACCCCCGCAACCATTTCCCAGTTTTTTTCCGGCGCAATCAATTTTTGGTAGTAATCAGATGGTTGGCTGAATACTCCTGGTCCCGTTTTTCCACCCGAAGACTCAGTTACTCCTGGCGAATGCTTGCCCTGGAAAAATATTGAAAGTGTCAGACACACATTGAATAAAAGCAGCACAGATAAGGTGGGCGGAAAATGGAAGGAAAATGGGCGAAAAGTCCGCGAGATTGCAATGCAAGTGGCATTCGCTGTTTTCCCTCCGCTTTTCCTTTTCGCCAGGCACTTTCACATCATTTGCATGTTATTAAGCGTCATTTGATGAGGGGCCATTGGGATGGGGATGGGTGGGGTTTATTTGTAAAGCACACTATCAGCATTTGCCCGATTCCTGAGCTCACTCACTCTCATTTTCCTCTTCCCAGGAGTATCAAAATCAAAAGTGCAGCTTTTCCCTCATTTTCGGACAGCTTTTCGCTCGAATACCCGCGTTTATTAGTATTTGTGCAAGGGATTTGTTTGAAGGATTTGCGGTGTCCGTTGCTGGAATGTAGGATTTTCCAAAAGGGGTTTGGGGGAAAAACAGAAGAAAGAGGTGCATGCTGTAGAACCGAAAGATTTTGTAAAACGAAGTTTTAGTTCTAGGGATTACAGTTTGAAAAGCACTAGAAAAAGTTTTAAGTTGTGGGAAATTGAAAATTTGCATTTGGAACTATTCTATATATCTTTAGTTTGTGAAAAAATATATATTTCTGTTTATGTTTCGTAAATAAATTTAAACACAATTTTTTTATTTAATTTAAATTTTAAAATCTTTTTTTGTTTGGAATCATAGTTTTATTTGTTCAACAAATCAATATCCCTAAAACAAAGTGTTTTAGTTTATTCCAATTTTTGTATATACTTATAATACCTAAATAAAATATTTGATTGATTAAATTTTAATACAATTAAAATGGGATTATTACTTAAATTCATAGTTACATTTGTTCAAAGAATTTATGAAATCAAAATGGCTTATCAAACTTATATTTAAAGTCAAAGAGAGTGACTAAAAATTAATCATCAAATTAAATTTAATTTTATTAGCTATGAACCCATAAATTAAAGAGTTCAACCAGGCCAACATGAGCCACCAAATGTGCAACAAGCTTGCCAAAAATTAGGCTAAACACAAAATAATAATAATAAGCCATAAACAAACGCACATGGTGGCTGGTGGCTGGTGGCTGGCCCAGTGGGTTTCTGGTCCGACAAATTGCCACAAATTAA